CTCCTGCCGGAGAGGACTTCCCCCCCTCCACTCCACACCCGTAGTCTTGATTCAGTTAGCAAACTCCTGACCTGTGGTTTCCTTTTAAAAAGCCAATTTCGCACTTGGCACTCAGCCCTGATGCTAGAAGCTTGTGGGCAGGACTGTTTTGTGCAGTACAGATCGTATGCACACCTTTTTGGCTGGAGGAGAAATGCATTAACAAAAACCAATCCAAGAAGGATTGTGTACCAGTAGACGGTGGCAAGGGCAGATCTGTTCCGCAGCCCACCAAATTGAGCAGACTTGGTTTGCATAAAATATCAATGTGTCCTGAGTGTTTATAATGTTAAAATAGAGCGGAAGCTTGAAAGAGACAATGAAAGTCTGTTGTCCTTCAGGAAACATTGGAGAAGATTTACAGTACATTAATAGAAATAAAGAGTAGGGTGGTGCAGTTGTAAAAAAAAATGTGTTCAAATGGAACGCATTATTTTTTGGTTTAAATCAGCTCTTAGATTTAGTTTACTGTGTGACTTGAAGCCAGTTGCTCTGCTTCAGCCTTGCCTATCTTATAGGGTGGTTGTTTTAAGCATAACTGAGAGTAGACTCCCCCCCTCTTTATGTGCCGCCTTATGTTCCTGACAGAATTGCAGGATGCAGATATAACAAGACACAAATGGAATGAATTATCGGGTAGGCAGAACCCGAACTTCAAAAGATTGAAGAGTTCTGCTAAAGAGGTCGAAGGACCATTTGCAATTGCTCATCTTAGGGTCGTCATGAAAAAAATGAATCTCCTGCTACACCACTGCTAACTTCAGGTGGCAATTTAGGGACACCACATAGAGAAGTCAACCGATGCATGCTCAGGTTTCTCACTAACAGTCCCTTTATTCCATCTCCTGGATACGGGAAGATTCAGCAGGCAGCACTGTGATTCCATTCTCCATCTGCCTTCCGTGGGTAGAGTTCTACAAGGGAAACTTACTAACAGGAGTAGAACTTGTGCAGTTACCCCCCGCCCCCCATGCACCTAAGTCTTGGTTCCAGCCTTCTCCTCGTGGAGAAATTTTGTACATGTTGACAGGACATTAGCAATACCTTTTTGAGGAGCCCAACCAAGATGTCCGTTTCTGCATCTACAGACACAACATGTCCCAAACCTGCGGGGTCAGTTTCCAGTGGGTTCCAAACCTTCCTTGAGAAATGCTTTGTGCATCTTTGTACATGTGCAGGAGGCCTTCGTACATCTTCCCCCTCTACGTACCTTCTTGATCAGAGCGTTGAAGCTCTTTAGAATTAGAAATGCTGGCAGGAGGAGAAGAAAGAGGTTGGAGAGGTGATTGACCTTCCAAGCTTGGAGCTAACCACACCATAGTGACCTTTCCCATCTGTCACTGGGGGACGCTGTTCAAAGGCGCTTTTTGGCATGAAGAAAGAGAAAGAAACAGCAAAATCACTGGGAGTGAAGGTACCTTGTGTGTCCACAAAGGCACGGCTAATGGACCACACTAAGGCACGGCTAACAGACAACTGGAGTTAGACTTTCTGCTGGTCTGGCCAGGGTCCTCCTGAGATTTAGGAGTCACGCTTCTGCACTGGAAGGACCACAGGGAAAAATTTTTATCAGCCAGGATTAATTTGATCCCTTCGAGATTGGGGCAGGAATGCAAACACAATGCACGTAAAGATGTGCGTATTAGCATCGTCTTTCTCAGCACAAATCCGAGCTGTTTGCATCCTGGATTGGTGTGTGTGTGTGTGTTTTAAGTGACATCACCTTTTATGCTAACAAAAAGCATGATTTGAATATTGCTGAGTTCACAGAACATCCTTAATTTGATTCTGGCATGAACCCTCTTCCTGCTCTTCCACGACAGCTTGAATCGTAAATGAATGCAATTTATTTTATTTTCTTTGCAATCCTGAGAGCCCGTCCTAATACCAAAGGGCTCTCCATGGTGAGCAAAACCTGAAGACCTAATAATAAATGAGACAATCAGAACCCCCAAAATAATCAAAAAGCAAAGGTGGGCACCCCCCAGTCAGTCAGCTAAGACTGAAAGCACTTTGAAATAAAATAGATTTAACTGTTTGATCTCAATGCAGCAAGGAGGGGGCTTCATGTGCTTCTGGGTGAAAGCTTTGCATGTCATGCTAACGTAGCCACTCGCTTTGTAACTAACTTGGTTCGGCTAGTTTCCAGAACTGGGTAGTGTGTAGTTGGAGCAGACAAAAACTAATTTTCAGGGGCTGGAGAGCAATCAGTAATATTTAATGGGACTGGATGTCGAGAATGAAAAGCTGAACATTCTTCCTCCCCTACACAAATTGGGTGGGTTTCTTTTTTAATCATGTCATGCATTGTCTCATACCTTATTTTATTAGATATGATTAAAATTTCACCGTGTCATGTCTTTGCACTTCCCCTTCTAACAAATGCCGGGGGGGGGCGTCGGTGCATAAACGCATCGGGGCTGATTACAGCAAGGAAATCAAAATTCAGCCCTTCAGCCTGCAGCCAGCCATTTAAAAGTTTAAAACTGGGGAGTGGGAAAAGGGGACGTTTGCAGGAAATGAAAGCTGAGATTCACGTCGGGCAACCGGTGACGGCGGAATCTGTTCCGAATGGGTTCCCGTTTCTGATCCCGTTTAATTGCACCGTGCAGAAACAGCCCAGGGCGGTCAATAAAACTTGAGCAGGCCTGGTGTTTAGAATACAAAGCCGGACCGTCAGCGCCTGTCCCTTGGCACCCTGCGATAAACCTTAAATTAGGTTTTCAAATCCAGTCCCATCCAAAACGTGGCCCTGCATTCTTAGCGTTTTGAGCAGAAGGAGGTAGGTCGGATCTTAGTTTGCGAGAAGCCGAGAGGTCTCGTTAATCGGAGCCAAGCATGGTTTGAGAGCAGTGTTTTTCAACCTGGGCAACTTTAAGAGGGGTGGACTTCAACTCCCAGAATTCCCTAGCCAGCCATGCTG